TAATTGATGATGGTAAGGAAGTAGGTCCAAATAAAACATTATTGAATATAAATGGTATAGCTTGTAACAAGAGGGGCTTATAGGGTCCAACAATATGGGTTATAAATAGATTTTCTCAAATGTGTTTTACTATTAAAATTTGAACAGAGCTTCTTGCTCATCCACAAAGGGAGTATCTATGAGCAAATCTACACAAGAAGATCCCCATCCTCACTTGGGAACAACTCATCATACTAAGGTACATTATGTCTCCCTCATCTCTAGTTTATATATAGTGCAATGGTGACTAGAACCCGAAAACTACTTTGGTAACAGTGTTATTAGAGATGTGCACACTTGTACATATATACTTGAACAACCTATTGTTTCTAGCTAAAATGTGAAATCTTTTCAAAATAGGGAACCGAGGAGAAAGAGTCGAAAAACGTTCATCTTAACTTGGAATTCACATTGGGGAGGCCGAGTTGGGGGATGGACTATGCGGAACCCTCCAACGATCTAACACTTCTCAAGTGCCAATTGTTTAACTTTGGAGAACTACAACAACAAAAAGTCAGCTTAGATTTATCAGTTTAACATAATTAACTTGTTTGATTCGTATGGACTTAGGAAGAATCATTATCATCATCATATATGAACATCTTCCAAGAATGTTCTATGAGTTTTTTTGGGATGCATAAACAAGAGAATCGGATTTAAGCAGTAGCCATATGGTATTATTGTAGTAGATTGAGTACAAGTAGAGATAAAAATTTGTTGCAATCTTAAAAAAAAAAAAAAAATCGCAATCTTCCATTATGATCACACTTTAATATAAATTGGAAAAGATTCTCTGGTAACTAAAAAGTTTCTGCTGCCTCTTTCCTCTTTTGGTATGCTCTACTGCTCCCACTCTGGTAATATATGGAGACTTTTTTTTTGTTGGTAACATGGTCTATTGTTTTTACTTGTTTCATAAAAGTAAAATCTATAGTTTTAGTAAATCATTTGGTTATATTGAATAAATGGGTCGACAAAAATATACTGCAAGATGTGTGGTAGAAAATGGTATCATACTCAAGGAATGCATATTTTTATTGATCTTTTTTTTTTTGGATATGATCTTTATATATGAGATGTTTGATCTTGATCGGAAGTTTTATTACGTAAGGTCAACAGCGACATTGACTTTCTTCAGAAACTTCGGGCTTTGTACCTCATGGGAGTAATGATAATGATGATATTAAATATATAGTCGAGAGCATAAACTCGTTTTGTTTATAAGCTTTTGCTTTGTCATCATGAGAACAGAAAATGTTCCATTCTTTTCAACTTTCTAGTTTTCTTTAAAACTCTCTTACTTTTGGATGATTAAGAAATTATTTTCCAATATTTATATTATAATTTTCACAAGATGTTTACCTAATAAAAATAAAATATTACATTAAACTCAACTTAGAATTTTTATTTTAACCTATTCACACATTTATATATATATTAGTCATTTTTGTGATATCAAAAAAAAAAAGAACATAATTATCGACAAATTTTGACAACTATCAACTAAAAAATCCATTCGTCTCCGGGGATATATGTTTATCCGCTGACTTTATGTATTTTTTTTTTGTTTTTTAAATGTTTGGTTTATATATAATATATCATATGACAAAAAGAAAAACAACTAAAAATTTCACACATTTTAAAATTTAGCACCTCAAAAACTTGAATTAACGACCAAAATCTATCGATATTCAGAATATATAAAACAAACATGATTTAATTGTTGGTAGCTATAGTCCCTAACGATCAAAACCATAAGTTGGGAAACTAATCATTCTACTCCAAGGTGTACCTTTTTGAACCAAACCTCCAGGGTCTATGGTTAGAGCTAGAAAAACATGTTAGAGACAAGATTAGAGCTTAAAAGAAGACAAATTAAAAAGACTTCACTTTTCATTTCTCTTGGCAGGCCTTCGGCCTATAAATCCCTCTTTTTTTGTTTTCTATAACAAATAATATTCGAATACATATTCCATTTTTACTCAAAAGACAGAGACATTCTAATTCACCTATGAGGTGGGGGCTAAGGCCTAAATTACAGCTTGGAATAAGACTCTGCCTCGCTCTATCTACCTTGTACACAATTCTTTCTCAACMAATTCTTCCTAGTTACTTGCTACAAATCTACTCCACAAACGGCTAAACCATGGCGATCTGATATCGCCAGAGCCGGTACATTCAGCATCCCCTTCTTCTGCGGTGCTGAAAAGGGTTTGATCCGAGCAGTCTAAGGAAGCCCCACACGCCATATTGTAGGACTGACATGCTGAATGGCATACCCGTAACCTGTCGTCTCCATCGATATCACACTTCTGGATCGATATCTGTTTCAGAGAAACCACAAAGAACAAATGTCGTTATCAGAGAAAGCTAGTAGTGTCTCACCTACAATCTTGGCAAAATTTCGACAATTATACAAATTCCAAGAGATTGCTGCTCACCCAACAGGCTAGTCTTTTTGCTGCTTCATCACAATAACTATTACCGAAAATGTTAAATAACTTCCGAGCCCCGCCTGGAAACAGCCTATTGTAGTTGGGCATGACCACGACTTCCTCAAGCTGCTGGAGTATGCTAGGTTCTCGTGGAGCACAATGTTGCCCTGATATGTCTCTCTCCAACACATCTTTGCACACCAATAAACTTGTAACTAGTTTAGAGCTGTTCTGACATGTATAGCCAGCATAATCAGAGCAACGGAACTCGCAAACCCCATTATCACACACTCCTCCATGTAGGCTGCATTGTTCGTCGCACACAGCTGTATCATTGAAAAGAATCTTGTTGTCGGATACAATATTGATAAATGTAATCTTGACACAGACTAAATATAAATGGATATTTACCGGTGGAACAGTCAATTCCAGTGAATCCATTTTCACATATGCATACACCTTGAGTTGTGCATTTTCCATGTCCATTGCAATTATTAGGGCAGGAACCTACATGATGGAAAGCATAACTTGTAACTTCAGATATTAGGAAAGATAGAGACCTTGACATGTACAAATATTTTATGTAAAGGATACAGGACTCTTACGGTTTTTACAGTCATGACCGTGATAACCAAGGAGGCAACGACATTTTCCATCAACACAATCTCCATTAAAGTTACAAGAATTAGGACACTGACCAAGGACAGAAACTACGGGTGCACTGCAGAGTTCATGGTAAGCCGGACAAATTAATTCACCTACAAACAAAAACACTAATTATTAATGGTTCAAAAAGATTTGGGAACAATATGCTATTTTTCTTTTAAGAAGATTAAGAGCATTCTTACCATTAAAACCAGGAAACTGAATTGGTCCACCAGCTTGAGGGCATAATTTCCATACTCCCTCCACAGCAACCTAAAAGATCGGTATCGTGGACGACAAGGAAAACATTACTAGTGAAACCATGAATAAGTATAAAAGCAGAATGTCCTCATTTCAACAAATCAAGATAGAAACATGTAGAAATAGGACTGATGGCACTACGACTTGGGTTGAAAACCGCTGTACAACTATAACAGCTTATGTTCCAAAGCAAAAGAAAAAAGAAAACGAAATGTTCAGACAAGGAAGAAGATGTAGAAGGCATACCTCTAACAAATTATTTTTACATCTATGCTGATAACAACCATTTCCCTGTGTCATGGAACCTCGAACAAACCCAGTACGCACCAAAGATGAGGCCATACACCTATATAGAAGCCAAACTTTTTCTTGAGCAACAAGCCACATGGATATCTATAGCGTTTAATAAAAATTTAACAAAAAATAACCTGGAGTTACTCCCTCTCACTTCACCCAGCATTCTATCAGGTGCACGTGCACTGTTGATATCCGTACAAGACCCATCTGAATAGGCAACAAAATATGTACAATAATCTGCTAAGGAAGACTGACCACCTGCAATATGTAGTGTATATATAAGATTTTTTTACAAAACGAGAACGTAAAGAGGATTAGATTACTCAATACCATACGCTGGATTATAATATGCTTTCTAGATATTACAACCAAGACAGAAGCAAGTTATATTTGCACATCAAACTAGCATGAGAAGCAGGAAACACCTTAAGAATATAATGTAAACATAATTGAAAGATTAGACTCTCGTATCAACATGTTGCAATTAATCGGCAGAACTGACCTTTGTTAGCCTGTGGAAAGTAGCGAGCCCATGGTGGCAAGTCTCCATTATAGCTTAGAATTGGGCAGTAACCTTCAGCTTCTCTGTTGTATGTACAGCCAGATAGTTGGGTTGTGTTACAATGGTAAGCACCTTTCCACATGTTACATGGAGATGTCACAAATTGAGTCCCCTGGTTCCGGCCCCAATCGAGATGGTCTGCCATGCTATAATTAGCCTTATACCAGCCACTGTCCTCTAATAGCGCTAGAGTCATTTTCGAAACGACTGATCTTGTGTCTACTGATCCAGTCATTATCTCATTCATGAGAAGTCTCTTTTCCCAGTGGGACCCCGATGTGCCACGTCCTCCTCCATCCTCGAGTTCTAAACCCGAAAAGTTCTGAGAAAATGCCTGCTCAGTTGAACAATTGTCATTCTTATGACTTCAGGACACAAAACTAAACTAGAGTCACGGGATAAACTTCCAAAGATGCATGAATTCCTGAGAAGTGATAAAAAAAACATTTAAACTCACTCCGTAATGATGCCGCGAATGCATGACAACCCGTGGAAGCACTACGCGTGTCACTATCCGACCAAGCTTTTCATCCATCTGTTGCTCAGTGACCTAAAAAGGTGAAAAATGGCTTATTCCAAGGTGGTTTGTATAGAAATAAAATAGAAATAGCAAAAGCTCGTGGCATGCTAATCAAAGACAACATTTTCTCCGGATTAGAAGGACGTTTGATTCTCATCATATACCTCAGTCCGCCTTCTTTTCCTTTCATCCCTAAAATGAGCAAAGGCATGCGGATCAAAGCCCAGGACATGCATAACCTCATGAATGAGAGTTGCTGAAAGCAAAGTCCCAGATTCCGAAGTCAAATGGCGGGGAGCAACATTGACATGCCCTGAAAAAGACCATAATTTTTTGCTCTAGTTTAAACTCGTAGCAATGCAGGGCTTTCAAAATACTGTAACTAACCAGATGAGATGGACAATTACCAGCGATTGCACGTCCCCATTGATCACGTTCACAGGCTACAGCCCATGCAAGGGTATTACCAGTAGTAGGTCTTGTGGTCACCAATAGAACTAAATCAGTATCAGCAATACCCTCTGTATGATTTGGAAGAAACTAGTTAGACCAAAATAAACCTAGCAAGACAACATCAATGGCGTAGAAACTGCCAATCAGAGAGCAAACGGTAATGAAATTACCCTCCACGTATTCACGAGGAAGCTGCACACCGCCATCTTGCCCACATGCAGAGTATCCACTTAAACGCAAATTCCCTTTCACAGGTTCAACAGATAAGGCTCTTCTGAACCAATCTGCTGTCTGCTCTAAAGCCTTCATGTGCAAGACTAATAAATCAGTACCTCTGCGTAGCTAATAGTATTCACATATCTAAGACACTAAAGATCAACTGAACCTTGCGTAGGCGACGCCTTTTGTCCTCCCCAGATATGTCATCTAAAGTGCAGTTATACCAGCAATCACCGGAAACTGGAGGTTTGACATTAGGATTGCATGCAGGAGAAGCAGGGAAATTGCTTGAAGGCGGCTCACCCAACTGAATTAATGGCGGAGGAAACAAAACAGAAGGAGCATAAATAAATTAGTTCCGCAACTTAAAAATCTCTACATGCACTTCTGAAAGCTACCAAGAATGCCCACCTTCACGATATCTCCAACTCTCTGGCAATCTCGGTCAAGTGAGTGACCAACAGCATCATAGTTTAAGTAAATCCTGATAGGTTGTTTCACATCCTTCTCATCTTCAGAAATACTGAGCAATACCCTTCCATTATGAGGATGAGCTTTTGCAGTGTTTCTTGGCTCATGATAGACTTGGGGAGTAACAGAATATACTTTCCGACCCGGTCTTTTCCTCTGTTCTATGATCTGATCATGAATGCACGAATGAGAAGATATATCATCAACTCCACTTTCCGGACCTTGCAAAGGTATATGGTGATGCCTGGCTTTTGCATCAGCAGCTCCCGACCACAATAAAATCAACAAAATCTGGAACAAAAGAATGACATAACATATACCTCTTGATGAGAAAATTTATGTTTGGCTAAAACAAGAAACGTAGCAGATCTGCAATAGAACTATCAAAGCAGACATGTAGCTATGAGATGATTCATATGGGAATAGACCTAAAAGCACATAGTTTGCAATAACTTTCAGTCTTTCATAGTTAAGAATAGTAAATGTAACAAGTACCAAAACCTCAACATTAAGAACTTTCCAAAATCTAGCTAAGGATCAGACTGACGACAAACAAACAAACAAAAATATTGAATATTGAGCTGTTTAGCATCAAATTCCCAGGAATCTACATTTCATAACCAAACGAATCCATAATTCTAAATCCCCAAAACCCCTAAATCCATGAAAAAATCTCAAAAGAACTTACACCGGAAATGGCGGCGAATCGGAGCTGGAGATTAACAAGAAGCCTGAAACATAAACCGCACCGGACTACAACCTCCATGAAATTCCGAGAAAAGCTGAGAAGAACAGCTTCACTTCCATCAAATCTCCGACGAATTCCCGATCCAGTCAAACACAGAAAGATCTATCGCCGCAGAGCATTTCATGGGTTCTACAGAGTCGTCGTCAGCTTACCCAAAAAAAAAAAAAAAAGCTTTTACCAACTCCAAATGCATGGAGAGGAAGAAGAAATCGAAGCTCTTTTTGAGTAGGAAGAAAAAAACGAAAAATGTATAAAAAAAAATTAGCAAAAGAGGATCGAAGCGTAGATTACTATTTCTTCTTTCTCGAGCTTTGAAAAATTCGTTTAGGGTTTTTGGGTAAAGAAGACTGATTCAATTCAAAACAGGTGATCTAGATTCTAGCAACCTAAATAATCAAAATTAAAGATTTGGGTTTTCTGCTTTATTCTCAACAAAAACTCTCTCTTTCTCTCTCTAACAAAACAAGTGACACTAAGAGATGAGAGAGAAAAGCACACACAGAGAGAGTCAAATGGATTGGGTAGGAGTGGGTGTAGGGTAGGATATGATGTATCATTATTACTTTCGAAACATATTAAACCCCAACAAATTTTTGGGTGCAATTTTGCTTATCATAAATTTTAATTTTATTGTTAGATGCCCTCAAATATTTTAATTTAAAGAAAAAAATTTGGTTAGACGCTCTCAAGTATTTTAGTAGATTTTTTTTTCTAATTAAATGCTTAAATGTTTTGCAAAAGAAACTGTTGGGACATTCGCTGTCTTCATTAGGCTCGTTAAAAAAAAAAAAAAATCTAAGAAAATATAGTGGTAGTTTGGAAAAATTAAAGAGGGAAATTTTTAATAGAATATCACAAATTAAGAAATATGACAAGGATTATCCATAAAATCTTTTCATTTTCGATTTTTTAATCTCTTAAGATGGTAAAAAATCTATATATATTTAACCAATTTTGTTACTTTTCAATAGTGCTTAAATCATTTATTAAATACATAAATTAATTTTAAATCTCGAATATACAAAACTTGAGTTTTTTTG